CAGCGAACTGCAAATCCGTTTTGATGCGCTTTCAATCCTCTTCCATTCATTATCATTTATATAGCGTCGGCAACATTCTTCTTTGGCTTTGCACTTCAAGAGAGTCGAGTAGAACACGTGTTGTTTTTCTTTGATCACCACTTTGAGAAGTTTCATGTTAAATCCACGTATTATTTGATGATCTTCCGATAAACCGCACAGTGCCCCTAACTTCTTATTTGTGATGAAGTGGGGAAGCATCTCGGTCGACTTGCATCGTTTGAGGAAGTTCAGCTGCTGTCGGGTGACCACAACCTTCTGACGAAGCGCCAAGGCTTCGTGCAGTAGCGAGGACAAGTTTGGCGGTATGTTTGATATTATCTCATATGTCCTCAGTACTCTGCGTTGATACCACTGCACTTCAATGATTTTTCTTCTGCCGTATACAGGTTGTTATTGGTAACACTTTATTGCCTTACGTTTCGGCTACACGCCGTCGTCGGAGGCTAAAAAGGTATCAGTCACTTTGATTCACAATCTCGGCCGTCAAATACCTCCTCCCGCTAGCCCACTCGATTCGTTCCAAGTGAAAATAGAGAGTTTGTGGGTAGAGGGAGTGTTACTCACCAGAGTGTCACCAGTGTGTAGCAGTGCAAGCTGCTTCAAGTATGCTCGATTGACTGCTGTCGGAAATGAGCGGTCGTGGTGTCAACGGACCGCTTAAATAGGGCAGACAATCTTATAGTTTGCAATGCGTTAGATAAGGCATCAGGTCTGTAGTGATAGATAACTGTTCATTCTTGCTGTTGAGCATGGGGTCGCGGGCAAGAATGTAGGCCGCCTCAAGCATTTTTCTTGCAGATATCTGATTCTCGTAGGCTAAAATGCTGCACTTGATATCATAATCGGTACCGCTGTGTTCAACTTTTCTATGTTTTCCTAGTGGACTTATCAAGCTCTGCCGTCTTTTACTAGCCGAGATTGTGAATCAAAGTGACTGATACCTTTTTAGCCTCCGACGACGGCGTGTAGCCGAAACGTAAGGCAATAAAGTGTTACCAATAACAACCTGTATACGGCAGAAGAAAAATCATTGAAGTTGATTACCTCATACAATGCCCAGGTTTCAAGATAAGAGGACATATGAGATAATATCAAACATACCGCCAAACTTGTCCTCGCTACTGCACGAAGCCTTGGCGCTTCGTCAGAAGGTTGTGGTCACCCGACAGCAGCTGAACTTCCTCAAACGATGCAAGTCGACCGAGATGCTTCCCCACTTCATCACAAAT